GGACCTGGTGGAACCCAAACTGGGTGTCACTGAGCAGGTTATTGCTGTACAGATACTACTTGATGGCACAGTTTTCAGAAAGGGTCTAGGCCTGAAACGTCAGCTTTCCTGCTCCTCTGATGCTGCTTGGCCTGCTGTGTTCATCCAGCTCTACACCTTGTTATCTCAGCTGCTATTACCATGTCGTTTATCTTCTCCCTCCAGCTAGAGTAACTCCAAGTATCTGTCAAAGGTGATAATTGGATAGCCCTGCAGACTTTTCCTGTATATTGTGTAGCTAGGTTCTTATTCAACATGTATATAAAACTTTACCCCACTAACAAAACTAACTATGCAGCATATGTAAGCAACCTTTAACTTACTAATAAAACTAACAGCGCTATGTCCAGACCCGCGCAACCTTGAATGAACGAATGAATGAATGATAGTAAATAGAACCCACAGATGGACGCAACCATGAAACTAACTAAATAAGACTAAGAGACAACAAGGTATAGAGCTGGATGAACACAGCAGGCCAAGCAGCATCAGAGGAGCAGGAACGCTGACGTTTCGGGTCTAGACCCTTCTTCAGAAAATGACAAGATAATGACAAAATAAACAAGACTAACACCTTTTGAATTATGCAAGGACACTCTAATCTCATTAAAATAACCATCAACACTCAACAATAACTGGTAACATTTAGCACACATTTAAACCATCTCTGATTTCCTGCAAAACAGTTTTGGTACAATGTCTACTGCTTAACACTCAAGTGTTAGAATGTTAATGTATGCTTGAATTCTGTATAAAATGGCTGCTTTTGAGCTATGATTTTGGGGAATTCTATTTCGCCTTACAGCGTGCTGCTGTGAAGGTGCAATAAAGAAGCTATTTTCGCCACTCACTGATCCTGGTCGTCTGGTTCTTTGAACGCAACCTCACAATACCAAATCGCTAAACACACTTAAGTGAACCAATACGTGGCTGCCTCAGCTTACTCATTGCTCTCAAATTCCTAAACTAACTTTTAAACTAAATAAAAGTCAAGTATAGCCACATTCAACTTAAACTTATTTTGTACCACAATTGTTTAAAATATTTCTTGTAAATTTTCCAGATTGTAAGAAACCAATGACAGCTACAAGAAATTTAAATGGTTATGAACCAAAGTTATGGCATGTTAAAGCGCAACAAATAAAGCACAAGATTTTGACCAATTGACACAATTTCCAACGGCCAACATTTAAAGCAAACTCTACAAACTGGCTAGTTTCAAGTATACGGACAGAATGTGCTAATTTATTTCAAGAGGGTCAACAGCAAGGTCAAAATGAAATTTGCGCTTAATGCATTTCGTATTACCATCTGCCCCCACGACTCAAAAATTGACTGAGTGTTGTTGAATGAGTATACGTTAAATGTAATAACTGTACCAAATTGCCACACTTGCTAGATTCCTAGAGATCTCTGACCTAGCCCATCGCCACATCCTAATATATTAAAATCTTTATTACTAAAACAAATTTTAATATTAGACCAAGTTCACTTTTCAGTTATCTATCCCACTGAGGCAATTCAAAAATGGTTTCAGCCAAACGTGTGGGGGGGTAATGCAAAAGTAATACTGCATCCATGTGCTTAACTATGGCTCTTTGGTCTATGATTAGTTCAAGACGAGCATATTTCCAGTACCTGAATATTGCCCAATAAAAAAGAAGACAGTGTCAAAGATTTTTGTCTTCCACTCATGAGGACAATTTGCAGGAAATATCAATATAAAGGAGAAAGCAATATTTTATACTCCATGAGAAAAGTGCTGTGATGTAAAGCGTGTGATTTATGTATATTTTAATTCTGTTCATTTTAGAGTTCGAATTTGTAACTACTGCAAGATTAGACAGGAACAGGGGGGCGTAGATGGAGGGCAGCTGTCCGAGGGTAAATCTACATCTGGTATGTGGGAATCTTTTAAATGCCAGTTGATTAGATTTCAGGACCAGCATGTTCCTGTGTGAATGAAGAATAAAGGTGGCAAGATTTGGAAAGGTTGGATGACAAGAGAAATTGAAAGCTCTGTCAAAAAGTAAAAGGAGGTACATGTAAGGTTTAGGAAACTGAAAACAGAGAGCTCGAAGAACACAAAGATAGCAGGAAAGAACTCAAAAAAGGAATTAGGAGAGCTAAGAGGAGACATGAAATATATTTAGCAAAAAGGATTAAAGAAAATTCCAAGGCATTTTATACATATGTAAGGAGCAAAAGGGTAGCTAGGCAAAGCGTAGGCCCACTCAAGGACAAAGGAAGGAATTTATGCATGGAGCCAGAGGAAGTGGGTGAAGTCCTCAACAAATACTTTGCATCGGTGTTCACAAAGGAGGACATGGTGGATGGTGAGTCTTCGGCAGGTTATTTTAATATTCTAAAGCATCTCAACATATTAAAAAAGAAGGTGGTTTTGGGTGTTTTGAAAAGCATCAAGGTACACAAGACCCCAGAACTTGATAGGATCTATTCCAGAATGCTGAGGGAGGCAAGTCAGGAAATTGCTGGGGCCTTCTATGACACCTTT